GATGGGAGGAAGTGGAATGAGCAAGAAGTGGGGCTGGGGATGACTTCCTTTCCAGCTTTGTTTTAAGGGGGAGAGAGTGGGAAGACCTCACCCATGTTACACTGACCGTGTGCTATGCTGTTACAAGGAGAGGGCATTGTCTCCTCCAGCTCTCCCTCTCTCCCTCCCTCCCTCCCTCTCTTCCTTCCTTCCTTCCTTCCTTCCTTCCTTCCTTCCTTCCTTCCTTCCTTCCTTCCTTCCTTCCTTCCTTCCTTCCTTTTCTTGTGCCATTGAACTCAGTGCATGAGTGCTGTCCCTTAGCTTTTCTTGCACTCTACCATTTGAGCCATACCTGCACTTCTAGCTTTTGGTGGTTAATTAGAGATCAAAGTCTCACCGATGTGGATGTCCAGGCCGGCTTCAAACCACAGCCTCATCTCTCAGCTGGTGCCCGGTGCCTGCTCCTCCAGCTCTCTCGTTCTCGTGTGCACACACGTCTCGTGTCACAGTGCACATACAGCCCTCTGCATACCACCGTGCTTCAAAAGTGACTTGGCTTCTAGACATTCCAAATTGCTTAAATTGAATAATCTTGTAATTGGCCAGATGTTCTTAAAATAGTTTGTTGTTTTCTTATGACTTGACATTCACAGTAGGAAAATGTAGAATGTTTTCTTTTCTTTTCCTGGGTGCTGTGATTCTGTTAGCAAATTCCTCTCACAAGGGTGCAGCTGTGTCGTGTCTGAAGGTCCTGCAGTATGTAGGGACGTTCTGTGATATGCCTGCACAATACGTCCTTGTTTGCCTGCATCATTGTTGCCGACTGAAGCTTGGCTTTGAGCAGAGCATAGAAAACTGTCAGACACCGGATGGGAAACAAGACAGATGTAACCCCCGAAATGGGGAGGTGCCTGCCTCAGGTGCAGGTGTGGGGGTGTGCCAGAGCCCTGGCCAGGCCAGTGCGCACTTGAGCCTAGGGACGCGGGGGGAGCCCCCTTGGGGCTCAAGTAGAAATTACATTCCAGAAAGAAAGGAAGCCAGACAGGTCAGGGCCTCCCAGTGGCCAGGGTCACTCTGAGAAGCTGTGAACAGCAAGAGGAGCCTGGCTTGGAAGCTTTGGGGGACAGGAGATTGGGAACAAGCAAGGCAGAAAGGGCAGTGGGCTGGGCTAGAGGGTAGGGCCTTCATGAGGTGGGAAATTGTTCCTGGAGTTTCCCAGGCTGGAGGCCTCTGGGTTGAGGGGGGCCTGAAGACCCTGGAGGAGCTAGTGTCCCCATCCCCTCCCCTGTCCCCATCTCCCCCATCCCCATCCCCCCTCCCGGTCCCCATCCCCCCTCCCTCTCCCCCCAAGGGGGCTTCTGCCACTGTGCGGTCCACTTTGAGTGACCTCTGGGCTGATGTCCTGCAGGGGCGGGACCCAGACTCATCCATCTGAGGCTTCTGGGACTCCGATGTATGGTTCTCCAAGGATCTTAGCCATTGGTTTCTAAAAGACAAATGTATCGTGTCAGTTCCCTTCAGTACAGCTCTTCTTCTGGATTTAATCTACGGCTCATTCTCGAGTTCTTTATTTTATTATTACCTTTAGGTAATCATATACATGGGTTTAACACAGCCATCTATGAATACAGTGCTTCTTGACCAGTGTCACCCCTTCCCTCATTCTCTCCTCTCTCCCAACTTCCCAAGCTGATAAGATGTCCAGAAATGTTAAATATGTTATTTTTCTCTCACTCTACAAGTCCACACCTGTGGTGATTCTATGTAGGTTTTGACGGGGGGGGGGGGGGGGGGGGGGGAACTAAGCAGTTAAGAAATTCTCTAAAATCCCATTACCATGTGGCAGAAAGAGCTTGAACCCAGGTCTGCCTGGCTTCTCTCTCCTGAAAGCAATACCACAGGACTCCTCGTACGGGACCCTGTGCCTGCCCAGCACTGACAGCCTCAGCCTGCCCCTCCCCACTTCCAGCGCAGAGAGGCCAGTAAGCAGCCACGGCCCAGGGATACTTCCAACCTTGAGTGTTCTCCAAGCCTGCCTGGGGCCTTGGAACTTTCAATGAAGGTTATCAGCCCTCTTAGGACTCGTGAACATTCTCAACAAACTTTTTACAGTGGACTTTCACAGATGATATTTGGAGAAAGAATTATAGGGGAATTAAAATGGGAAAAATGTGTGTGTGTGTGTGTGAGAGAGAGAGAGAGAGAGAGAGAGAGCGAGAGAGAGGGAAAGAGGGAGAGAGGGAGAGAGAGAAAATATTCTATGTACACAGGACCAAGAAAATCCTTGAGGGCACTTTAAATAATAATATTCTTAGTAATAGTGCTGTAGTCAAGGTTCAGAGAAGTGTTTGACATGAACGTCACTTTGGGGTCAGAGCTGATGGCCTCCTGTACCCCAGACAGCTGAGCCTCTGAGATGCCTCCTTGCTTTAGTCAGGTTAGTATGCTTGTTTACTTATCTTGAGGTTCCACCCTGGAGGCGTTTGGATTTCTGCCATTGTCCTACAGCAGTGGAGATGGGGCCTCCTGCAGACCAGGTCCCTCTCAGGTTCTGAGAGTGTGCAGAGGCCAGTCCACCCTCATAGCTGGTGCTCCACTTCCAGCCCTGTCCGCTCTCTCCTGCCTCTCACGCGTCTGCCCTTCTGCTCCTCTGTCCTGGGCCACTGTGTCTTATCTGGGTGGGTTTTCAGGTCCAGCAGGTTCCTCCCTTCCCACTGAGTGCCCCAGGCAAGAACTTATGGGCATTTTGCCCTAAGTAAAGACTTTGGCTCAGTAATACCCAGGGAGTGTTGGTTGATAGAATTTGAGAAGGCATGTCAAGCTTTTCCTGTTTTTGGAGTAGCTAACCTAAATGACAGCGAGATCTCATGCCTGGTTTCGGAACTTTGCAGCCTCCTAGGGTCTTTTCTTACAAAGTGATAAAGCTAGCTGGACATTGTGGGGGTTTTATTGACTACTTACTAGGGAGCAGGACTTCTTCCTGAGCTCCATTAATCCCACACCATCCCCCGAAGATGAGCTTGTCCACCTTGGTGTCTGATCTTGGATGAATAAACTGAGCCCAGCAGTGGTTAAGCTGCTGTTTATGCTGGCCATAGACAGAGACTGTGTACAAATGTCTGACCACATTCTTCAACTGGCATGGTGCTCAGCTCCTCGGGTCTAGTGAAAGCTATTAGTAGATATTACTTCCTCCTGATTTGATAGCTACTTCTTCTTCCCAAGGCAACCTCCCCCAAAATTCAGGCCTCATTGACCTAGACGTTGTCTTCTTTACCAAGTATCTTTAGCACTGATTCAGCATGTAATCCTGTACTGCCTTGTATTATTGGCTAACTTCATACCCTGAATTGCATCTGAAGATCTGTGGGTGAGGAATTCCTGTGTTCATCCTGAGTCTCCAGAACCCCAGGGCTCCTTGTGTTGGTGGCTGTAGTTGGGTGTCAGCTTTTCCGTTCCCTTTCCTTTGCATGTGTCCTTGTCATTGAGCGCATTGCCCTCTGCTCCATACACAAGGCTAGATGAGACAGATCTTCTTTGTGTCTTGTGTCTTGTGACCTCATACCCCAGCATGGAATGTGAATATTTTTGCCATCTGAATCTGTTTCATTGCTCTGCCCAGAGAGAGAGGGAGTTTAGCTAAGGAACAGGCCTAAGATTTGGATAGCAGGGCCAGAAATTCTATAGGAAAGTTTAACTGAATCTTACTCAGTGTCCAGAGTTTGGGAAGCATGAGTTTGGACAGAAGGGGCTCCTGGAATGAGGAAACACAAACTTACTGATTTCAGATACAAAATAAATATATGAGGCTTAGAGACCGGGACTCAAGGTATGAATATTAATTATCCCCAGTGCAAAGATTTGTTCATGCAGTCTCCTGGGAATGACTGGAACACTGGATGGTCAGGTGCTGACTGTGGGCTGGACATGTGTCTTCTCCGTCTGTCTTTCCTTACCCCTCCAGGCTTACTGACTGCGTGGTTCAAGAGAGAAAGCCTTTAGCAAGCACTGGTAATAGCGTGTAAGCACCAGGCAACAGGTAATCGCACTGGATGCTGCTGGTGCTTTAGAATATGACTGGAGAAATCCTGGGTAGATAAAGGGGGAAGGATCTATTTTTCAGGTATCCTCTATGCATCCTGGATCTGATAAGTGAACCTATCTATCCCATACCTATGCCATCCTGGGGTTCGATATTCTAGAAAATCTTAAATCTAGATGCAGATAGGAGTGGGGAAGGGGCAAGGGGAAGTAATGGAAGGATTAACATTCTAATTCAGCTTGGGTAAAAATAGTCCACAAGACCCCATCTCAAACAACAAGCTAGGTGTGGTGTTGCCCGCTGTCATCTCTGCTATGTGGGGGGCAGACTGATGAGCACAGTCATAGGCTGACCCTGGACGAAAACAAAGTGTGACCCTGGCTGCAAACCAGAGCACAGAAGAGTGGGGCTGTGGCTCAAGGAGTAGAGCAGTTGCCTTTCAGAAGCACAAGGCATGAGTTTAAATTAGAGAACTGGCCGGAGGAGGCGGGAGGAAAGAAGAGAAGCAGCAGCGGTCTTCCTTTGGAGGGAGCTGTTTCTGGAGGCCCAGGCTAGTGAAGGGCAGCCAGTGGGGAAGGGAGGGATGTGCGGGGACAGAGGGCTGTGGACCAGCCTCACTGACGGGGGGACCTGGAACGGCCCACCAAATAGCAGTCAGTATTGGAACACAGGTTCTGTGCTGAGGCTGCCGGGGCTTTGCCTCCCTGAGCTAAGTGCTTGCTTGACACACGGTGTCAGTAATTATTAATTGCATACTGAAGGGATAGGCAAGGGGGAGGACGTGAAAAGTCACCAGAATAGTGAAAAACAAGAAAGCCTGCCCACAGTCCCCTGGCTAAACCTCTGAGGGGACCCCAGTGAGTAGAGTCCAGTGCCCCCTCCCTGCCAACAGCAGCCTGGGCCCCTCCACCGCCGGGGAGGGGCATCTGTCTCGGAGGCCATCGGAGGGAGGTCTGACTGTGTGCGTGTCTCATTCCAGGCTGCTCTGCAATGACCACAGCAAGGTACCGGCCCACCTGGGACCTGGCCCTCGACCCGCTGGTGTCCTGCAAGCTGTGCCTCGGGGAGTATCCGGTGGAGCAGATGACCACCCTGGCCCAGTGCCAGTGCATCTTCTGTACCCTGGTGGGTCTCGGGGTCGTGCAGGGGATCAGCCAGTTCAGAGGGTCTCCCGGGTCACACACGGGGTCAGCCGTTTCAGCGCACGCTCCTGGCTCTCCACTCCCGGCTGTGGTTTAAGCAGAGCCTGGCACTGGGTGTTAGGATGACACGCCTTTGTTTCGGTCTCCTTTGGTGCTCTGAGGAGGTGGTTGCTGGAGGAACTGTGTCAGGCAGATGACCACAGTACGTTTCCGTGAAGGCGGCTCGGGCTGCAGAAGCCATTATGTGCACAGGATGCTAGGAGCTGGCGTCTTGCTTTAGAAAGCTTGACAGGGCATCTTGTTTCACACTTCATTTAATAATCATGTCTGAGACTGGCGTTGTGGTTCACTTGTGAGTGCCAAACTGGAATGTGTGTGACTTGAAGTCCCTGAAGCCCTTGTGAGGGAACCTAGGGCCCCTAGGGACCGAATGATTTTTGTTTTGTCTGTTTTGTTTTGTGTTCGGTGCTGTGGTTTGAACTCAGGCCTTGTGCTGGCCAGGCTGCCACTCCACCAGTGAACCATACCCCCAGCCTGTTTTGCACTGGTTATTTTAAGGTAGGGTATCATCACGATTTGCCCTGGCCCATACTGGGACCTCAGTGCTGGCCAGGCTGCCACTCCACCAGTGAACCATACCCCCAGCCTGTTTTGCACTGGTTATTTTAAGGTAGGGTATCATCACGATTTGCCCTGGCCCATACTGGGACCTCAGTCCTCCTAAATTATGTTTTTTTATTGAAGATGACAGATTCACTCCATCACCCTTGCTAGGGGAGACTCTCATTTTTTTTTTCTCAGACCAGCCTTGAACTTCCAATTTCCCATCAGCCTTCTGAGTAGCTAGGATTACAGGTGAAAGCTACCACCCGCCTTCAAACGATTAATTCTTGATGGATATGAAAATTTCTCGCTCAACAAGTTAAGGTTCAGGATTTGTGTCCAAAAATAAACCAAAAGCCTTTTTACAGAAAAGAAAAATGAGTAAGGAAAACAGAAAAATTCCTTGTAATACCACTTAATGTTTCTTGATTTTAGAATCGAATAACAAGTCAACTCATGAACACTTTGGCCGGGACTGGGTTACTAAGGCTTTTCAGAGATGTCAGTGGCAGGTTGGAAGCTTTCAGTTATGGGAGGGAGGAGAGAGAGAGAGAGACACACACACACACACACACACACACACACACACACACACACACACACACACACACACACACACACACACACACACACACACACAAGTTAAGTGCTGAGTCAGCAAAATCACAAGTTCCAGGCCAGCCTGGGATATATAGCAACAGCTATATATATATATATATATATATATATATATAAACAACACAGAAAACAAAAAGCAAACGACTAAATTGTACACCTTAAATATACAATCTTTTTTGTCACATATCAATCAATTTAAAAATGGAGAAAATAACACAGGTGTAATTTTAAAAAGTACAGAACAGGGAAAAAGTCTTCATACAAGTTGTAAATAACACACCCTTGGCTCTGAGTTTGACTGTGGTTGTAAATGCTCAGGAGCGGAGCTGCGGGTTTTTCCAGTGTGGCCGTGAGATCTGTCTGTCTCTCCCACCGCCTGCCTCACCCGCGCTCCTTCCTGGGCAGGCTCGATTTCACTTAGGCTGCATCTCAGCCTGGGGATATGGGCTCAGAGCTCAGCACTCATCATCTGTTTCATAGAGAAGGAACCCAGACCTTCCAGGCTTAATTGAAGTCCACATCATTTCATTTCCCGTGGATGCTGGGTTCTGACTTTCTGAAGGGAAGAAGACTTTCTGGCTCATTCTCCATCTCGCCTCCAAGACCTAGCTGAGTGCAGAGCTGATAATAGCTAATCAATAAAGCCTCAGGGATTGAACTCTGAAGTAAATCCATCTCGCTGTTGGAGCTGACATCCAAGAAATGTACCTCATTAAAGCCCGCAGGGCTGGACACTTTCCCGAGATGGAGAACGGCCGGAGGGAAAGCTGTAGTCAGTTAGCACAGTGAGTGGGGCTTCTAGCTTCACGAGAGGAAGCTTAGGAAGGCGAACAGAGATGCAATAAATAATCTGCTTCCTGGGGAACCCCCTTCTCCAGGCCAGAGGGGACCTTTCCAGATTCCCTGACTGGGTAGCGCTCCCTCTTTCCTGCAAGCACCTTCCTGCACATTTGCCATGTCTCCAGACACCTGCCAGCTGCCAGAGCCTTGTGTGTTTTCTTCCTAAAACATCCCAGTCTTCCTGCCTTTGTTTCCAGGCTTTCATTTGGTTGGTTTTTTGTTTTGGGGGATTTTTTTGGTTGCTTCTAGAGAATTGTCTAAATAAATAAGCAATCCTTACTAATCCAAAAGCTGCATTCAGGTCAGGGAATACCAAAGGTGACAAGGAACACTGCATTCTCACGGAAGCCTCCATCCAAGTGCAGAGGAGCAGTACAGGCCCTCGTGATTTGTTTCCACAGCTGGTTGTTAACAGTTTAAATGTCCAATGTCGTTCCTCTTTCAGTAGCTCACTGTGGTGTGAAGCTCCTGTTTGTTGGCTGATGGAGCAGTGTGTGCAAATGCCAAGATACCTTCTGCCAAAGGTCCCTCTCTTACGGGGTCCTCAGATCACCCCATTGTGCTCAGGCAGTGGAGAAACCAGAGACCTTTGGTAGGACAGATGAAAGGGAAAACGTTGAGTCATACTGAAAGAGAAAGCCAGCCTTTGGCTGGGAATGTGGCTTAGTGGTAGAGTGCTTGCCTAGCATGCATGAGGTCCTGGGCTCAATTCCTCAGTATCATATACACAGAAAAGGCTGGTGCTGTGGCTCAAGTGGAAGAGTGCCAACCTTGAGCAAAAGAAGCTCAGGGACAGTACCCAGGCCCCAAGTTCAAGTCCCCAGGATTGGCAAAAAAAAAATAAAAAGCCAGCCTGGGCAGGAAAGTCCATGGGACTCTTATCTCAATTAACCACCAAAAAGTTGGAAGTGGAGCTATGGCTCAAGTGGTACAGCACTAACTAAGCTTGAGCAAAAAAGCTCAGGAACAATGCCCAGACTTCCAGTCCCTGAGTAGAAGCCCCATTGTGTGTATACACGCACACATACACGCATGCATACACATATACACACATGCATATACACACACATGCATACACAGACACACACACGCATACACGTACACACACACCAATACTAACTCAGAATTACAGTCCAATTCCAAAGGAAGTGATCCCAAAGAAGAAGTAGCTCTGGAGAGGCAGCTGTGAGCTTTGAAGCTGGGCATCCTCATCCCTACCTTAAAGGCCAGCTGTGTTTTTGCCCTGAGGAGGCCTCACCAAGCTCAGTTGTGCACGGGAAGGAAGTTCACAGGGAAGGGTGCGTGCTGAAGCCCCTTCTTGTGCTCACCACAGGCCAGCTTCCTCCTCGATTTACTTGAGTTTGAACTTACAACTGCAGGAGGAAAAAAGAGCAGGGGATGGATTGCTTTAGAGGAGTGAGTGTTCTCACAAACACTGGTCCCGCAGGATGCGCTCTAGGTTCATTTTGGGGGCTCCCTGCGTTTGCTAACTGCTACACGCTGCCTCCTTGTCACCCCAAGGTCTCCTGTGTACTTACGAGAAGGAAGGGAGCAGAGGCATGACCCTAGCCTGACACACCGTCCACTCTGCCTTTCCTCAGTGTACCAGACATATGCTGCCCAGAGCCTGTTCCTGGCTCAGGCCTGTTTTCAGGAGCCGGGTGGTGGACATCAGGAGCAGACTCTCTGTATCATCTCAGAAGAGTCTCCTGGTGGTGAGCATGTGGTTGAGTATAGATCTCTCCCCTTACAAACCTGTCAGGTGGGGGAGGGGAAGAGCGAACGTAACTCCTGTGGATCCCAGAGGCACTTCCTTCCCAGGCAGGCAGTCAGCCTCATTGGCTCTACGACCCTCAGGTACTCCTAGATAATAGAAATGGGTTCACTAACTGGTTCAGCCAGTGGTCTGGAACCTGGCCTGCAACTAGGGGTCAGTTCCCTGTACCACAGGCTGGAGGACAAGGAGGGTCCCACGGGGAGCTCAGAGTGTTCTTCTTAAGGTGGAATCAGCACCTAACTCGAAGCATGGAAGCTTCTTCCTTGTTAAGGTCCAGTGAGACCCAGGGCTCTTCGGCTCTTGGCTTCCTTTACAGTCTCACAGCTCCATTCCTAGGCTCATCCCATTGCCTCAGTTTACCACATTGAGCCATCTCACATTGCTGGAAGCTTCCTGACTCTAATCATCCGGTGCCTCAACTCACACTATTTGCCAGTTGGTAAAAGTGTGTCCTCCTGTTCTAGACCCTGGACTGTGGGAATGTTGGTAGAAAGGGCTTCATTTTGTTTGTCCATAACTGACACATAATGTCATCTTACAATAGTTTATTGTGGTGTATCCGAGTTCCATGTAGCTAGGTGCAAGTAAGGGTGAGGTGCTCCTCACTGTGAATTTAGAATTCCCTCTGCGCTGCCTCTGCTCTGCGCCTCACTCTTCCAGGAGAGGGGTTCTATGAGTGATAAGAACGTTAGGTCTAGGGGAAAGGAAATTGCCATCTTTCTGTGTGGGGTCAGCCTGTCCTGGCAAAAGGGAGCAGCAGGAAGTGCTTTTCCAAATGTTCTTGAGCTAATGGCTTCTTGGTTCAGGAGAACGCCAACAAGTAAAGAGTAATTCATAGAGTTTGGTGCCAGCCCGTCAGCCTAGAGCTCGGGGACCCAGGGCTGACTCCTCACCCACCCTGCTAGGGATCTCCAGGGGGAATCTGAGGACTAGCTCTTCCCTTTATCGACTAGGGTAGTGGTCCTTTTCTTGGCCAGATAAGAGTCTAGACTGAGTAAGTTTATTTGAAAGTGAAAGGAAGTAGAAAAAATAATCGGCAGGCCCTGCTATCCTAGCAGAGCGGCGATTTTCCTTCACCCCAGGCTTCTTTACTGAGCCCTCCAAATATTGGTCTCTAGTCCCTTCCCTCTGAGGGAATGCATCTT